TCTTTTAATCAAAATATTAAAAATTAACGTTTTTAAATAAAAAAATACAAAATTAATATTTTTATTTACCCATTCCCTCTACCATTATCCAAAACCTTTTGTCAACAATAATTTTATAATCGTGCATTGAAGGACAGGTGATCCTCACCTACCTCATGATTCACAACTAGGAGCCGTTGATCTCAACCACCACACCAAATCCCTGCATAAAACGCCTTAAAACAAAATTACTGCTCTGCTCACTGAGCGCCAGTTCTTTGAAGTAGCCATGGCTTTGAAATCTTTCATCCAAGTCCATCATGACTCTCATTTCCCCATCCAGAACCTCCCTTACGGAGTCTTCAAGCCGCAACCTCATTCCCTTCCTCGCCCCGGCGTTGCGATTGGTGACTATGTTCTTGACTTATCGGAGATCGCCAAGGCCGGGCTGTTCAACGGTCCGTCGCTCAACAACTCCGATTGTTTTCTTCAGGTTCGTCGATTCTTAGTTCCGATTTCATCATTCATCTCTAATTCAGTCCAATGCATGTTCGTAGTAGTAGTTGTTTTTATAGTGCCTTGATTAGTAAAGTATTCGAGTCCAGAAGTAGATGTAGATATTAACTTCGGTAGCTGGTTTTGATTTGTTTCCGAATTCAGCTTCTAGAATCTGTGCTTGAAGATCTTAGCGTCTCATTTTTTAGTTGAGATTTTATTTTATTTTATTTTATTTTATTTTATTTATTTTGGTAACTAATACTAGGATTTTTCTAATTTCTGGCTTTGGGGCATAGGTGAAGACTACTTAATCGTCATAAATTTGTATAGAAAAAATGTAAAGGTTAGACATTAATTTTACAATTGTTTCCATGCGGATGGATTTAATTGAACTGGTTGACAAATTAAAGGCCAGCTTTAGTATGGGATTCTATGTATTCTATTGTATATATGCTACATTTTTGGATTACCATATAAAGTGCTAAGAGTCCGCTGTTTTGAGATCCAAATGGTACCGAATTGCAAAACAAGGACCTTTGGATAGAGGAGGCCCCTGATATCAGAGGGTCCGTCCCTCATCGAAGGGTCTATGTTTTGCAGTGTAAAAAGGCCCTATATTATTTGCTTACTGTTTGAATTATTTTTTATGCAGCCTACTCTTAATAAGTTTTTGGCTATGGGCCGGCCAGCATGGAAGGAAGCTCGTGCTACTCTTCAGAAGCTATTGTCATGTATGCAGTTATATTTAAATCTATTTAATCGATTTTCCTATTCATTTCTAAATTATACTTACAGGCAAATGATGCATCATAGAAATTCTAAGTTATGAAAGACGTGTATAGTTTAACTAGTTTTCTATTCTAATGAAAAGGAAATCTGTTTTTGAGATGAAAAAGATATATAAATAAAATATACTTGGATAATGCAGCTTCTGAACCAACGCTGCGTGACAATGCAAATTTGAGGCAGAAATCACTTGTGCCAATGGTAATGCATTTGACCATTTGTTTTTGATCTGCACTATGAATGTATGATGTTTGTTTTGCTAATTTTTCATGTTCACTTTTTACATGAACCTTTAGAACAAGGTAGAAATGGTTCTTCCCACAGCAATTGGAGACTATACAGATTTCTTTGCATCCATGCATCACGCTAGAAACTGTGGAACCATATTTGTGGGACCCCAGAAGCCAATCCCGCCAAACTGGTATGTTCATTTTGAGTGTCCTAACAAATGGGGACTTTGCTGAATGAAAGTTGGATCCATCAATAGTGTAAATCCTACCTTCTGGACTTTTCCAAGGTTATATGTATATTGTGTTTCCAGGTTCCATCTTCCCATTGCATATCATGGCCGAGCATCATCTGTTGTCATCTCTGGAACTGACATAATACGACCAAGGTTAGATTCAGAAGATGATTCATTTCTTATAATATTTGTTTTTATGACCTTTCTTCTATATTAGGTCATGGTAGATAATTGTATGGAATTTTCAAAGACTAGCAATTTTTTTCTTGCAATAGATCATGTACCAGCAGAGCTTACTATTTTTTCTGAAAACATTGGTTGGACCAAATGATATACCTAATGCCTGGTGATGACTGATTCTGGTCATGGAAACTGTTTAGCCTTCCCTTCTGCGTATACCCAATCTCTTCTTCAGTGCTTTAATTTGAACTCCATACTCACCCTAAGAGAAAAATTTCTGGTTATTATGTATTCTTACAGAGGTCAGGGTCATCCGAAAGGGAATTCACCACCATATTTTGGACCTTCACAGAAGCTAGATTTTGAGCTCGAAATGGTTAGCCCTTAGTTTCCATTGATCATAAAATCCTGGTCGTCTATTTCTCCTAGTTCAGGTCACCATTATAATTCTTTTATTTGTATCATGTGAGTTCTCCTGATGCTTGCAGGCTGCTGTAGTTGGTCCTGGAAATGAATTAGGAAAACCTATAGATGTTAATGAGGCAGCCGATCATATATTTGGGCTTGTCTTGATGAATGACTGGAGTGGTATGCATTGGTTTTAGATGGTTCATTTTCATGCAAACTTTTTGTTTTGTTTGGTCAATTTTGTTTAATTACATTTAAAAAAAGTTTGATTTTGACAGCTAGAGACATTCAGGCATGGGAGTACATACCTCTTGGGCCTTTCCTTGGGAAGAGTTTCGGTAAGAAATTATAAGGTTCTTTCTTTCTTTTTAACATTTTTATTGGGAGTTCGGTTTATAAGAAGTACATTCACAAGGCTGTTATTGATTAGTGGTAATGCCCAAATTTCCATTGGAAAGCAGAAAAATTGAATATGAGAAGGAAGTTAGCTTTTTACAACATTGATTTTGATGGGGTAATAAGAAGAGAAGTAGTATGGGCAAATAGTTGACTAGCCCAGCATGGTATATGAAACAGTTTTGCTTGGCAGGTCCATACTAGATTATTCCAAGGAAATGAATTAAAAGCGCAATGCCTCTTAAATTTGCCAAAATTTCAAATGATAATATATAGTGCTCAATAGATGATAAAACCATCATTTAAAGTATAATAGATAATTTTGATGCAGTGCCAAACAGAAAATAAGAACCTCTTAAGTATTTGAATAATGGTTCTGAAAAATTAGTCTAGCCACAAGGGTTAGGGGGAGGGGGGGTGCCTTTGTGTGAAGTAGTCATGTAGGCCTGCCACTGACAATTGCAAGTATGACCTGTCTTTTTCTTATTTAATGATTCTTTGGCCACAAGTTTAAAGTAGGAACTTACTTCTTGCATGGAAAATCATTTAGGTACTACTGTGTCCCCTTGGATTGTGACATTAGATGCATTAGAACCTTTTGCTGCTGATGCTCCCAAGCAGGTAGGATCTACGCCAATTGTTCAGAGCATAGAACAATTTTCGTATTCTCCTTATTATTTTGCATTAAAATTCTTGTCACAAAGAAACATGCTATAAGATGTGCAATGTGCTGTGCAGGATCCCAAACCGTTGCCATATCTAGCTGAGAAGATATCCAAGAACTATGACATTGCTTTAGAGGTAGCATTTGGCAACTTATATGTACATGTCATTTGTTTTCTCATTTCCACGGGTTTCCATCCTTCTGTACCATCTTCATAAAATTTCTTGTATTGTTCTTAAGTATGTATATTTAGATTTTGTTGCATTCTCCAAATGTTGAAGAACATGGTTTCTTGCTGCTAGGTTCAAATCAAACCTACTGGACAAAAAGATTCATGTGTGGTTACGAAGAGTAATTTCAAGAACTTGTAAGATTCTCACTTAATTTCATGATGCTTATATCATTTCCACAAGCAGTCTCAAAATGAGACTTATTTTTCCCTAATAACCAATCGATCCTTGAATCTGTTTATTTTCGTAACTGATTATTGTTGCACTAAGGCTAACATGTTCATCTGAAATAAAGGTTAACATTTCTTGGATTTATTACCTTAAATTGGTGATGGTGAACCTTGTAGATTTTGCTTGTGGTGAACTAGGAGCAAAGGTGCAAACATAAGAATGCTTTTGTTTGTTCATAGCCCTAGTTGCATCATAAGCTTCTCCTGCTCTTTATCAATTATCCCATACTTATGTGAATAATTAATTGTAGAAGGTTATAAGAGGAGAAGGCGGAAACCATCTCTTTCATACTTATCATTACATACACATGTTGATTTGCCTCTACTGAAATGTAGTTTATATTTTTTTCAATTTTCGTAACAGATACTGGACATTGACTCAACAATTGGCACACCATACAATCAATGGTTGCAACTTGAGGCCTGGGGATCTCCTTGGAACTGGAACCATCAGTGGGCCTGTATGTTGTTTTTAGTTAACTTCACAGGACAAACACAAACACAAACACACTAGATGCACAACAAACACTATATGTGAAAATGGATAATGGCAAAATTATCATTTGTTATTTGGATATTGGTTTGGTCTGAGATTACACTTGGTCATTTTCTTGGTCCTCATAGCTTCAGGACAGTTCACACCTTAATAATAAATATAGGACAGCTAAGCTTTGGAGAAGAACTAGTCAAATTCAGTTGAAATACATTAGAATTTAGTAGGAATTGAGGTAGCCTTACAATATTATTTTTAATTTTAGGGGATATTGATTTATAGAAAATGCATCTCATGTTGTATCGTAAAAAATTTTAATAGAATGTTCTTGAAAATGAAATATGCCTAAGAGTTTTTGTATATCATTTCCAAGTTAAGATTGCCATTATTTTTAAGAATAGCAATTGAAGATGAAACCTAATGCAATATGCATGTCAAAAATGGAGCTTTTGTAAACTAGACAACATTATAGTGGTACCATATTTTCTTTCAAGGATATCAATATGTTGTGTCTCCTAATGCTAATGTATCATCTCCAACTCCAAGGGACACATATAATACATGATTGAATATATAAAAACAGAAAATTACTGATTGACAATCTATATATGCTGGTCTGGTATGATATTTTCATGTTGCATATTGGAATTTAGCCCCTTTGTTTACATGTGATAAATATGATCAAGAACAATATTTGCTCGAGTGAAATTTTAATTTTGCATAGTATTCTTGACAGGAGCAAGATTCTCTTGGATGTTTGCTAGAATTAACATGGAATGGACAGAAGCCATTGTCATTGAATGGAACAACTCGTAGTTTCTTAGAAGATGGGGATGAAGTAACCTTTATTGGTTGTTGCAAGGTACTTAATTATACAATCTTTCTCACTCAATTCAACTTCTTATAGCTTGTTGCAAGCTTTCGAGTTACCATGGTCACTCCATATGGCATCATCATACAAATTTTTTTCTATAGGATAAAAGTTCCGGGGCTTTTTCTCTTCTTTTTGATTTTTTTTTTTTTGCTTCCTGTTGCCTATCAACAAGGGAAGTTAAGACTTAGCCATTTGCAAGAAAATGAACCTTAACCTTGACCAGAGTATCAAAGTTTTGTAGTTAGTTGGTGCTAGGCAATTTTCTATGCAATTCTCAAACCTTGTAGAACATTCTATTGAACCTCCAAGAAGAATAGCCCTCCCTGGCTATGATATCAGTTTTCTCCTGGGATTGTTTTGCATGGATATCGACCTGAATGGGATGAGATGTTGAAACTAATTACAATCAAATTAACATGGCTTATCCTATTATCATGGCTTATTTCATGTTAATTCTTGAATCTCTTGAAACATGTCCATCATGTAGGTATTTAATATTCTTGCAGGGAGATGGTTACAATGTTGGCTTTGGGACATGCACCGGGAAGATACTTCCAGCCCCTTGAAGAATAAGTCATCGCAATGTGCAAGTAGGTACAACACTCACAATCGATGATGTTTTCCTGTCAAGAGATGTCACTTGACCATTTGAATTGATTCTCATGGTTGGACCAGTCTGTTTGTTGTAAATTAGTTTATGGTTCTTAGTAGTTAACTGAAGAATAATTCAGAACCTTTGTTGCTTAGCATTTTGTTTCTGGTTTTTGGATGTTGGAAGTTGTTACTTAGTAATCTTTCAGTGCAGTTCGTCAAGTCTGTTTGTTGTATATCACTTAATGTTTATCAGCCGGACCAATAAAAAATCGGTGAAAATACACTTTAAAACTACATTGTTATAATAAAGCACAGTAAGAAAAGACTAAAATAGTGTCATTCCTGCTTTAAAAATAATGAAAATGATTTAGTCTTTTTCAATGAGATTTTATTAAAATGATGTGGTTTTGAAATTTTTTTCTACTTAATTTTTTGTAATATAGTCTAATACCCACTTTTCTTGTATATAAATAAGATTAATGGGTATAGGTCAATATTACAAAAAATTATGCAAAAAAATACTTTAAAATTATATTGTTTTAATAAAATATCATGAGTAATAATTAAAATAACTTCATTTTTAATTTAAAAATTAAGATATTTTAGTCTTTTATGGAATTTTATTAAAATGACTCCCAATAGGATAGAATATGTGGCTCTTCGATTAGGACTTTCAGCAGAGCTTTTGGGGACCAAAGAGCAGGGGTAAAGACCGCCCAATGGGCTCATTGCTAGTGAATGTAGGAAGGAATGCTAGTTTGAGTTTGGCTGGTGGAGATGAATCCCGGGGAACTTATTAACATTTATTTCGTCCCTGGAACTCAATTTGGGTAGTTCCCCTCAATAAGGACAAAAAGTAGCATCAGCGGATGAAAGAGTAACGGGATACTTATTCTTTCTTGCTCTCAGGGTTTTTTGATCAACAAGACAGAAATTTAATACTTAAGTTAATTCAACTCAACTTAAAAGTTAACATATGTGAAGCTTTACTTTGTTAGTTGCATATTCTCATTCTTTACCTCAATTTGCAAAGAAAAGCTTGTAGCTAGGGATCTTTCTTTTTACATCTTGGATCCTATGGACATTTCTTTGCCATGATGTGTAACTTTTATTCGATTGTGTAACAGGAGTGGATTGCATAAGCGATTTAAGGGTATATAAATCATTTTTCTTATTGCAAAAATGTATTTTTCTTGTTGCATAAGCGAGTTGAGGGTAAAACCCTTTATTAAGCACCCAAACATATCCTAAAATTTTGATTAAGTTTTTAGATTTTTATTGAAGGAAATAAATCCTAGATCACAATAATTTGGGCTATATAACTTTTTTTTTTTAATGACAGATTTAGCACATGTATGTACTTTCCTTGTCTGCACAAGGTTAGTACCCATCACATAGACAATGATATGTAAATAGCTTACCCATGTGAGGCATAAATAGGTATTAAGTTTGATATAAAGAAAAGAAAGGGTTAAACTGCTTTGGTTATTAAGAGTAAAGAATTATTTATTTTAATACAAATTTAAGGGTTTAATTAAGAATTTGGGATAAATTTAAAGGCTTACTATAGGGTTTTACTATTATAAACCTGAGACTTGCTTCGTTTGAGAATGCTTCTCAGCTAGTTTAGCTTTTAATTTTTGTCTTTTTATTATCTAAAAATATTTAAAATATTAATTAAAAAATATATTAAGAGATTAATACATATCAATCT